AAGAAAGGGCTATGATACACATCTCGTGTCAGTCCTTACAATCGAGATTGCAATTTTGATGGTTGAAATTGAAACAGCCTGGTGACTTTGCATAACTTGATCTTTTTATAGAACACGACATGGACACCATTGTATATCTTGAAATGTGAGAAAAGCTAATCATCTCTATCTCTAATGACAGAACAATGAAACATTTCAGGGTCGTGCTCTTGGGTCCCACAAAATCAAAGACGTAGGTGTGAAATCACGTACACCGCAATGGACAATTATCCAGAGAAGATTCAGTGTTAGAAAGCATATGTTCTCAAAAGTAAACGAAATACAGATAAGGGAGTCACTCCCGCAATAAAAGATGGCAATTCCCCTTCTCCATCACGGAACACCAAGAAGAGGATTTACTGAAGGCAAAATCCCAGCAAGACCCTCAAAGAGAGTGAGAAGATGGAAATATGCAACGATGTTTGAGTTATGGTACTTATTTGTTGAAGAATTCACTCGACCACTCGATGGGGAGTACAATCAAACTGTATTTTGACTAAAGGCGTTCATCTCATTGCTGAAACTCGATCTTCAAACATCCTAAACTTNACAGGAATGGCAGGAGAAAGGAACAGAACTTTCCGTTCCAATTGACACCCAACCCTCTATTACTCACCCATCCCACCCCGGGGAGGACATCCATCACACAGTAATCTCGTGTGTGGGAAATTAACGTCTCCTACCCCAACCCTGCAGGAGACGGGACCTCCATTTATCGTCCCTATCCGAGAAGACTAGAAAGTCTAACCATTTTCAGATATTATTACAAAGGCAGCACTTTCTTCTCAGTTAATTAAAGACCCTGAATGTTGGTCCGGCCGGATTTGAACTCACGACCCCCCGCACAACAGTCCGGCGCTCTACAAATTGAGCTAACCGGGAGGCGGTTAGCTCGATTGAAAAGAAGGTGTAGGGTGTAAACTTCAAATTGTATTTGTAAATTTTTATGTCATACACCACTTTCATAAATGGCTGCCAGATCGATATTGTTTTGTTTAAATTCAAATTAGTCTCACTAACCTTGCTTGAGATAATGCATTCTTTGGAATTTTGAACAGGAGAACGAGGCCAGAAAGGCTAATTTAAATTTAAACAAATGAGTATCAATCCGCCAATCATTTATGAAAGTGGTCAATTACTTGATTTTAACTCCAATTATTTTTCATGGAGGATAGCACTACGTATCCTGACATCTAACTTTATCAAAAACCTATCATTTTCTTCTTGGTAGAGGTAAGAGATGGGAACATCATTGATTTCTCATTTCTCTAAAAGTCCACAGTGGAGACAACTTCTTTGAGGATAAGATCCTAAGATTCTTCTGGTAACTTGGTTAATTGTTGTGATAACTTGTCTGATTTACCAGATGCATCTCACCCACTCCCCCCCCTTTATTGAACTCAATCCCTAATGCCACTGAGTGTTCACCCCTGTGATTTCCTATGCATAAACATGCACAAAGTGTACCTCAGAAAAAAGTGTCCATAACTTTTCCATTTTATTTTCACCAACATTCTAACCACAGGATGTTGTAAGGCCTCCTACAAATGAAAACCAAGCATGTTTTGTGTTAGAAAAAAATGTGAATGTGATTACAAGTACAGCTCAAAGATAACTTTTGATAAGATATTTTAGTTTTGGTTCATCCCATGCTCACATTTTTTATGAGAAGTAGTTTCAATGCTGATCAAAATAAAAATTTAATATTGCTGTTAACTCTGTCCCATCTCCCATAACCTAAAGCTAAGAAAAGGTAAGCCAGTAGATTTGCAGGCTTGTAACTTCACCTTGTTTTTGCTCTTTGCAATCACATGTAAACAGGACCTGTCTCTCCAGCTGAAATGGTTGTTGCCTGTCTGCATTTCTCTGCCAGGGGTTGTATTGAGCTTGGGAGGGCGTCCTCCCTCGTCGCCATCCAAGATATGATAATAAAAGTGATAATCTATGGGATCATCTGTGATTGTCCTCCAAGCTCCTTCAATTCCTTCTTTCTCATGTTCATTTTTGTAACTGTCTTTACGTTTTGGAAGATGTGGCCAGTGAGGATTCACCATCTGGTCTAGCAGAGCCAAAGTCGTTTTCTGCCCAAAACAATATAATCATATAACATACACACACACACAAACAATGCAATATAACTATAAAATTTATACATTAGGATGTGTATAGAATGACAAACTCCAAGAATGTCATACATTAGCCCCCTCTCTATTGGACTTCTCTCCAGTAAATCTAAAATAAGAGCTGCTCCTCAATGAGTCTTTTTCCTTCCTTCCTTTATTACCCATTGACCTGAAAGCCTTGGAAATTTTCATTAGTCTCAATAATAGGACAACTTCCTGTCATGCAAAAAGGTCTCCCTTATTTTAGCAACCCTGCACATGATGCCTATAGGTATATAGCTCAGTCCAGGTTAGTTAGGATTAGGTCATTTTTTTCCATATATTTACACATTTGTATACCTGTAACATAATTTATTTAGACTACCGTATTCTTAAGTACTACATAACCTTAGATACGACACTACCTTACTAACAGAGTGCTTTATTCTTATATTATAATAAGTTAGATATTCTAATTTAAATGATAATATATGTTAAAGCAAAATTATAAAATTCTCACCTTCATTCTAGGATTTTCAATGACAAACTTGAAACTAAAGAAGGATGGTTGAGGTTCTGTCATATCATCTGGCCTCCAAGAAAATAAGCTTTGGACTCTGGGATTAAAAGGTAAAGAGATATTGTCTAAGATTGTATTGTAACCATTCTCTAGGTTAGGTTTCAAACAAAACATATTCTTTTTTATCTTATCAATGCATCCTCTTTTGAGTAAATAATTGGCTCACTACTGACACAGTAACTGTATGTAACTGTTACAGAGTCAGTCAATGATTAGACATATATATATATAAATGTAAAAATGTAAAAACCTTATCCTTGAATCGGAGAGTGCTCTACAATCATATGGAGCTTTGTAAACGATTATTTAGGAAAATAGAAATTAAAACTTGCTACTACAGATCTGTTTCGAAAGGGTTAAAAGTCCTCTACCTGACGAGAGAGGACTTTTTAACCCTTTCGAAACAGATCTGTAGTACCAAGTTTTAATTTTTATTTTCCTAAATAATCGTTTATATATATGATTATATGATCCAATCCTGATATCCTTGAACCTTCAATGGAAACTGAAAGAGGTTTAAGTTATTGAGAGTTTGACTTATCCGGAGTACAAAACAAGGGACCAAATAAGGGAAAAATAGTCTTACATATTTTTTCCATTTCTTCAGTATACATTTTAATGAACTTTAGCGAGGGTTTGAGTCATCCAGATTTGACTGTTTGTGTACATAACTTAAATTATTTGCTACTGCATAAATAAATTAAATTAGTAATTACAAACAATAGATTCAATCAAATTATTCAATTGAAACTTAGAGTTATTATATACCTCTATAAAAATACAGGCTAATTAACATCTTAGGCCAAGCAATCATTTGACTTCATAAGTATAATTGCAAGTTTAGGCCCTCATAATTCTTGCAAATCATATTGTAGCCCAATTCAAAGTTATACTTATATCTTAAGTACCATTTTCTCTTTATATACCTTTCATACCACATCATTCGTATCAAATATGCTGCCACCTCATCTTTCTCTGCCAATAAAGCCATCTCAACTGGAACCATGGCTCTTGTTGTCCTTGGTCGTAATGTCTCTATCGAGAGCAATGATGGACATTTCTTCACAAGTGTTTTGGTTACTTTTAAAAATCCAAGTTCTGCAGCATAGTTAGTCTCCCTCGCAGCCGTTTTTAGTCTCGTCACGCAACGCTTCTCCCCACAAACGGCTGCTCACATTCGAACAACATTCCTTTCCGCTACTTCAACCAATCACTATTTGGGTTACATATGTTGAGAACTGTACGCGCCAAAGTAGTCTAACCAATCATATTGTTTGTTTTATCTTCGAGTTCAAAGCTTTGAAAATGGCGTCCTTTGAAGAAGCGTTTAATGTTGTTAGTAATACATTTCGAATTCCTAGTTTAAATGCGCAGCAAAAAACTGGAATTAGGAAAATAGTTGAGGAAAGAAAGGATGTATTTGTCAATCTTCCTACTGGTTTCGGGAAATCTCTCCTGTATGAAGCACTACCACTCGTGTTTGATCTTACCTCACAAGAGCCTGGTCATATCGTCGTCGTTTTCTCACCATTGGGGAAAGCCTTATGAACGACCAAGTGTCCCATTTGAGGGAGCTAGGGCTAAAAGCTGGTAACATAAGTTCACTTGAGGGTGGTAAACGCACTCGTGTCGAAAGCGGCGAATATTCCTTAGTTTACGGATCCCCTGAAGCGTGGTTAAGGAACGAACGCTGGAGATTTATGCTGACGAACTCTGTGTATTCCATGCCAAAAAACTCTGTGCCATTGCCGTCGATGAAGCGCATGTTGTAAGGCAGTGGTAAGTGTTTCAATAAAAACGAGTCTGCAGCAAAATGTTATTTTACATGTATGTTTTAAATTAAGCAGTATAAAGGAAAGGACAATAAGAATGTAAATATTGTAAATAGAAAATGTAAATAGTTTAGTCAGTATTAGTATTACACTGTGGTCTTATTTTGGTTATCGTTATTTTATTCTGTCTGTGTTATATTACACATGATCACCTGTAAAAATATTGTGTCTAAATACAAGACATTATCATCGCAGTATACACTTCTGAGTGCTTCAGATTACCAATAAAATTGATATTGGGTGCCATGGTGTAGCCTATTTGATTGTCACTACTACATAGATAAAAGCTAAACTTTTTAAAATTTTATACCCCTAGACCCTAAAAGGAAGTAAATGTCCCATCAACCTATTAAAACTATGCTTGAAACTAACGTCATTTAGGGAACTTAGTCTGACAGGACCTGTCCCGACACAAATAAAACCTAAAAGTTCTAAGATGGTAGACCCCTAGACCCTAAAATGGAGATAAATGTCCCATCAACCTATTAAAAACCTATGCTTGAAGCTAACGTCATTTGAAGAACTCAGTCCAATAGGACCTTGAAAGTCCTGGCAATGTTAAAGGAGCTAGAGACTACAGCTTTCTGCATGTTCCTTAGCACTGAATGACATTAGTATTATTATTATTAAATTATTAAAATTAATAAAGTTTTCATTATATTATTATTATTATTATTAGTAATTT